TATATATAAATAAATAAAAAATAAAAAGTAATAGGTCCTCAGATCACATCAACTGTTGAGGATCATCTCTCTACTGTGCTGCAGCCTTTGGTACCAACCACTCATTGCAGGTCCTGTTTGCATCAATGCTGGACCCTGAACTATTTGGATTAGTTTATTTTTTTAAAGAAATTGTGTCCACTTCATTGGAAGCACATCAGCAGCCCCTAGCTGCTGGTGGTACTGCCTTCACCATCTGTTACATCCTCTTTTCTCCTCAAATTCAAAAGGCTATTCATAATAGTAAGGAAAACAATGCATTATCCTGGGGAAGAGGACAGGGACAATGAGGAAATATAATCCATGCTACTGGAGTGATTAATGGGACTGTTTATGATGAAGGAAATGAAAACTAAAAATCTGGATAAGTAATGATCTTTCCAAGAGGATGATGACTTTCAGGGAAACCACAATGCAAACGCACGTGCTGACCTCCTTTGAATTATTGCTGAAGTTTTCAAAGTGAAGCACTGAAAATTTTGTTCCCTTATTGATTCCCAGGAGCACAAAACTTCCAGCAGCAGCAGGAGAGGGCTCCCTGTGAGATACACACGTGCCATCACATCTCTTTAAAATGTGAGATGCTTCAGTGGTAGGTTTGAGTAAAAGGGCTTAAGAGGCACATTTGGCACTGTCTGCTAAGCATGGTAAGCTGGAGAAAGGCTTCCCTTGCATATATCATCTCACACATCCATATGCGGGCCTAGTGTGGGCAGTGGGAGGAACAAGACTAACAGTATTTTTGATGAAGGTAAGAGCCTAATATTGCAGTTTTGGAAAGATCACTTATCCATCTGCCAGCCATCTATCTTTGGCTATGGTACTTACCTGGCCTCAGTTATTATAGTATGTAACTGCTTCACAACCACTAATGTATTTACCTTTTCATCCTCCCTATGGAGCTGGGAAGTGCTATTACCTCTGTTGCAGAACTAAGAACTGAGATTAAGGGTCAGATTTGTTATGGCATTTAGGTGCTTAATGGGATTTTCAAAATCCATGCTGTAATAAGTGGAACCTGGGTAGTTTGATAGTTATGAAAACCCTGTTACTTGTGTCTTACAGGCTGGGATCCGTAGGAGAGGTTCCCATGTTGTGGGTAGTCACCAAGATAGGAGACTGTTTCTTCATCCACCTACTAGGAGACTGTAGGTGGGACAGGAGCAAATTTGACAGCAGTTCTTTGTCCTGAATTCAGCAAGCTGTAACTCTGTGCTTAGCAGTGATTTTACCCTCCTTGCTCAGCTCTGTGAGAGAGGTCAGAATCTGGTCCTGGCAATACTGGAGCAAAAATAAGCAGCACCCATGGTCAATAAAAAGGGCTTATGTGCCAATTGCTGGGATGTAAAATTCAAGAGCAGAAGCAAATAATGAAACAATCTATATTCATGCAGCCACCTTCCCAGCCTCCTGCTGTAAGTACAGGCTTACACCTAACAGGGAGATGTGAATCCTATTGAAAGCTCCAGCGTATCACACTGGAAAACAAATGTTGATTTTGAACAAATTGTCTGTTCATCGCTAAATCATTTTCTTTCATTATTAGTCTCCAAATTGGTTCTGCTCTGGAAGACAGAATTAGGTTTAAAAAGAGAGTGTCTCTTAAACACTTGATTCAAATGAAAGCATTAGGTAAACATTACTCAACCCCCCCAAGAGCATAAAGTCCTCAACTGCTTTCTCTGGCTTTGCATAGATTTTTTTAGCTCCTTGCTTAAAGTCAGATATCTCAGAGGTTCATTCGGGTTATTAGAAAATAATCAAATTAAATCCCTTACAATCACACGCCTCTGAAATGCCAAGGAAAAATATATTTAGACCTTTTCATCCTCCTTTACAGTATCATAAACTGGGGCAAAAGTCCCATACAAATGGGTGGAGTTACACCAGTGTTGAACATGTAAGAGAGAGGTGTCAGACTCCAAACCCACAGCACAAGGACAAAACCATGTGGGCTGCAAGCCCAAGTTTCTCATAGTTGGAAGAACCTCAGTTTGCTGTTATAGTGCTTGCACTCATTTGCATAGTTTAAAGGTTCTAAACAAAAGGGGGGAAAGGGGGTCAAAATTGTGTTTTCAACATTGAAGGGAGGGAGTTTGGTTAATTCAGCATATCAGCAAGATTGCAGCTGTGTGAGCTAGAGATTTAGGATGGCAGAGTTGGGGTCAGCCCAGCTAGCTTCAAAAAGCACATGGTACTGCAGGGAGCAGGGTGAGTTATGGAGCAGCAGCAAAGCCCCAACATCATGTGCTTGTTTCAGAGTGCACTGTGGGCTGTTGGGAGGTGCTTGAGAGGGTCCTTTGGGCCTCTGTGAGGTACGAAGTTTTGCAGGGATTAGGATGTATCTGAAATCGTGGGGTTTATTCAGTGTTTGTGAGATGATGTTATTCTGCCTGTAGGTTTTCACTGTGTGGAGGAGGGAGAAGTAACTCAGTCACTTTGTTGGTAGGAAAAGAGAATAAAACCTGGGAACAGTGTTGTCTAATAGATTCCCAAGTACTTGGCAGGCTGTTGAAAGCATGAATTTAACTTGGTTGAATGTTAGGGGGATCTGTATCCACAGGGGAGGATCTTCAAGAAGGACCTCTTTGATCCCCCTCCACTGTGGGAAGACATTCCCCAGTTTCCCAGCTCTCTACACTCTCCAGTAAAGCACAGGTGTGGGACTGGGGCTGCTCCTGTACAGAGCACAAATTGAGTGCTCTGCTGCTGCAAATGAGTGCATTTTCACTGTGGTGTCTGAGCGCTGTTTTGAACTTACAAGATTTATTTCTCAGTGGGCAGAAGAGCTACAAGATTAACAGATGAACAAATGCATTGAGACAGCCAAGACATCAAGGAAATTGAAGAGTCACTAATATGGTGGAGAGCTGCAGTCACCTGGCTGTGGTTCTTAGGAATTGTTTTATCCTCAGATTAGCTCAGCTGTCTTGGGGTTTGGACACATCCTCTGGTGAATTTAGCTACAGAGACTTCAGACACAACTGGCCCCAGCTTTCTGTTTCAGCTCTGGAAGATCCTGCCTGTGAAGCAGGAGTGGATGTGTGCCTGCATCCCAGCCACTGCAGCTCAGATCCTGGGGGCTTAGTGCAAGCAGAGGGTCCTGCATTTTTCAGGGTAAGCCTGTGAGCTACACCACTGAAGATGGGAGCATATTGTATCCCTGGGGAGAAGTCCATAGAGAAAACGTGGGGCAGACAGCGTGTTCAGCCTCCCTAATGAGTGCATGTTCCAGAGTCCTATGGCTGTGGGCTGTGGCTGGTTTTACCATAAGAAATTCTAACAGATATTGGAAAGACAATTACTGCAATTGAAAGGTCAGAAGGAACCATATCCCACGTATCACTCTTTAGTGGCAATCACTCTTTGCAAGCTTTTACGCCTTCAAGCACTCTGCAGTTCAGTCATGGGAGTGGTGGGAAGTGAGTAGCAGCAGTTTTAACCTCAGAAACCAGACAAGGGGTGATTCCAGAGGAGGGATCAGAAGAAGGTTTACATAAAGGGTAGCTTCTGTAAAGAGAGCAAAAAGCAGCTCAGAAAGATTGTGCAGAGACTGGTAACCATGAGACCATGCTCATTCCTTTGGCTGTTTATGCCTCAGTCCTTGCCTGAAATTTAGACTTAGTTGAGTCAGCCTCAAAATTACAGATGAGTTTGGTATATGTAGGGGAAGGTGCTCAAAAGGCAGCAATATGAAGACAGCAACAAGAGGGAAAGCCATAAGATGAAAAGCGCCACACAGAGGGAACTCTGCCTTTGCTTTGTTGAACTGCTGGCTGCAATAAATACAGCTGAATTTATTCAGCTCTCCCTCAGTCTCCCATAATGTTGTCTCAGTACTAGCAGGAGTCCATTTAAGAATACACTGACTTGCACAAATGGTTATATATGAGGAGCAGAGAAACAGTTGAAGTGCCACAGCAGTGATGCAAGCCAGTCCTAAAAGCTGCCTGAGTGGGCTAGGTGGCTATGTGCTGCCCTGTGCTTTGGTTTTGTTGGTGCTGCAAGCCTGAAGCAGTCAAAGCAGAGCAGCTTCTGCTCCAGCCTGCCTGCCTGCTTCACGTGGGGAGATCGTAGTCTTAAGTTCTGTGATGGTGCAGTAAATAAATGGTGGTAAAATCAACAAAGAGGATATTCCCAAAGGGGGGAATTGGTTTTTGTTAATCATTTTCAATACAGAAAGTAATAAGAGAGTGTATTATAAAGAACAGAAGAAACAAGTATAATACAAGCCTTATGAATGGATAATCAGTAAGGAAGACTGAACCTTTCACTTTCACATCTTGCAGCATTAACCCCAATTGCCTGAAATAAAAGGTTTGGCTATGTTAAACAGTGCTATAACAGAGTTATCAGATACCTGTGTGGAGTATCCATGCTTTGGAAGGGTCAAAGCACTACAGAGAGGAGCAGTGTGATGTAGGTGTAGGACTGGACATCAAGCATTTGGGATCTTCAGCCTGATTGTTTTCGTTGATTTCTTTATGTCCTTTAAACTCTTCCAAACCTCATATTATAGGGAGTCAGGACAAATAATTTGTTCCTTCTTGGACCATGGTTTGAGGAACAAAAGTGTTCTACTCTCTGTGTAGGTGTCCTGCTTTGCTAATATCCCCCATTAACACTGATTAGTTAGAAATCTGAACTTGCAGATGAGCAAGCTGATCATGGGGGGAGCTTTATTGTACCTTGCATCTTGACCCAGCATAGCAAAGTTGGTAATTTCATATCAGAAATACAGATATTAGATTAATTGCACCGATCTGCAATTAGCAGATTGGATTTGTGATGTGTTTTACCAGACTGTGCATGAATTCTTCCCACTGTCTAAACCAGCTGTGGATCTGAGCAGCAGTAGGTCCTAAGGTGCCATGAAATGGACAGTCAGGCTGTGCAAGATGACAGCCTGAGACTGAACATGAATATTCAACCCACCAGGCTAACTCCCCTCTCTGTTACAGGCTGGAGTCACCTACACGTGCACTGGTGATGGAGGCTCCAAAAGGCATCGAGATCAATGCCGAGGCCGGCAGCTTGAAAGCCACATGCAGGACAGAGCTCAGGCTGGAATCCAAAGATGGAGAGGTAAGCAAAGCACGTCAAGCCCTGCAGCAAAGCCAGACCAAGCCACAGATCTGCAGATCTCCTTCTGGGTCAATGAGCAACTGCATTTGAAACACTGGTATGAGAGCACTGGTGCAGCAGGACTTCCTAGCTTAGTTTCTGCTAGCAGTGATTGAACAGCTCATATGTAGATGAGATGCTCTGTGGCAAAGGCTGATTCATTATTTTTAAAGTGCTTGGATAATAGCATCTGTTGTTCAAGCAGATTTATGCAGCTGTAAAATACAGACTGCTCCTAAATTCTTTGTTTCCGTGTCACTTTAAAACAAGATTTACTTGGCTAGCGTAATTAAATCTTTTATCATACATTTTTCTATAAGAAAAGCTTAATTCACCAGTATTGATCTGAAAAGCTTTTGTAGCTGATGTTTTCATTTTGGAAAGAAAGGGATCATTAGGAGACACAGATTGTTGCTGCACTAGGTAAGATCCCAAAGGGGAAGAGAGACCAAGTAAAACTGATAACATAGAACAAAAGTAAAATAGATGTTGAATTAAGTCTCTTCTGGTGTGTCAAAAATACATGGGCACGTGGTTCTCATCCCCTCTTCCTGCCAGAGTGATGGAAGATACTGAGGGATGTAGCTAAGGAGCCCCCACTGGGAACCCACTGAGGGCCTCAACAGGAGGAGCTTCCCATTGAAGATGAACCTCTGGCAGTAGGGCTTCAACATAAGCTTAAGTTTTCCTATCTTGGTGCCAGGAGTAATAAACAGGATGGGATTTCTACTGCAGTTCTGTTATCTCTAAACATTTTAAGACATTCCAAACCCAGACCAGTGGTGTTAACCAAAAAACTGACAAAAATTCAAAAAAACCCAACCAAGTGACCTGATATAATACAGTTGAAGTCCAAGGCATTTCATTACTGCAAGAAGTTATCTTAATGTTTTTAACACTAAGTTGCTTTTAAAATACATATATTGACCTGTCTCAGGAGATAGATGGCTGAATGCTAAAACTGGAGACTCTTACTGTAATTGAGGATAAGAGCAAATACAGTTGCCCTGTAATATTCTGGTGTGCAGGTTACCTTACTGTGCTCTTCTTAGTGATGGTAGAGCACTCCTCTGTAGCTGCCATGTGTCTAAAAGCTGCCACAGGTTCGCTTTTATGTTCTGTTTTATAAGGAAAAATTCAGTTATGTTACAGCATTTAAGTTGTTTTTAACAAACAGGAAAGTGTTACAGATATACATAAAATATACATAAAAGTCAGCATTACAAACCTGACAGCATAACTGGCAATGGGATCTCAGTGCCAGCAGTCCTGGTGGCGGAGTGATGTCGTTATGTGCACCTGAACCATGCAGGGACGCCACACAGCAGTGAGATAACTCTAGTTGGGTTCACCCAAACATGGAGATGTCCCAGGAAGCTACGAGACAGGAAAATGCAGTGGGTAGATTAGCAGAAACAAACTGGAGGTGTTGGGCATCTCATGGTAAAGGCCGATAACATGCTCACCCACATTTGTATCAGTATTAATACAGTTGCCTACCCAGTGTTTGTGGTAGCTGAGTTGTCTGATGAAAGCTTCTTTGAACATAAGATCAAAAATAACAGCTCTCCACTAATTCTGTCTCTCTCTTTCTTTCCCCACCTCCGCCTTCAGATAACCTTGAATTCTGCAAAAATCAAACTACCTAACTTGCCTCAAGGATCTTCCTCTTCTGCAGGGTCCAGGCAAAAAATCTACGAGCTCTGTGTGTGTCCCAATGGGAGGTTGTTTCTGTCGCAGGCAGGCACTAGCTCAACCTGCCAGATAAATACAAGCGTCTGCCTTTGAGAGACAATTTGCAGTGGGGGCATCGCAGGCAGCACAAAAGCCAGTTCTGGTCTCACAGATTGCAGCTGCCAACTATTTTTACTAGAACACAGAAAGCCTATCAAAGACTTTTTTTGTGTGTGCGCGCGCGTGTGTGTGAATATATATATAAAAATATATATATAAAATATATATATATCCTCTGTGTAAAATGGTGTTTCAGTACAAGGAATCCCAGGGTGACCCTGTTACATTTGTGTAGCATTTCTCTTTCCCATACCAAAATTTACTGGTACAATCTGCTGAATTGGATTTGATACTCCCTTGGAACCTTCTGTATTAATATAGTCTAATGATCACCCCTTGCTTTTGATCATGTTCTCAGAGCAGTGGGATTGTTGGCTGGGCAAGACCCTGGAACTGATGTAGACCCACCAACATATAAAGGGAAGAGAAGCATCTCTGATTATTTTTGCACCATTAAATCAGTGGCGTGAAAAAAACAAAAAGGAAAAACTAATTAGCCAGATGTGATGTACTCATCACATAGAGTGATCCAAGATACCTGAGGTTAAATTACTCTCTAATTTTTACCTGAAGCATGGCTCCCTGCTGGGAGAGACGGATTGCCCTTGGTCAGTAGAAAAGCCCAAATCTTCTTGCTGGAATAATCCTGTGTTTTTCTAAAGGGCTTTGGGACTTGCCTGTGCATGGCCAAGGATGTCTTTTGCTATTCAGATGTGATGTATCAGCTCTAAGCCTGACCTGAAGTCATCTCTCTGCTAACAAAACTGGCGCTGCATCTAGTTCTGGAAAGGAAAAAGAACCAAGTGAATGTTGGATTAACTAGAAAAATCCTGAATCTCCTTAATTGGCAGGTGTCCTGAATCGCTCTCCATTAGCATCTTTAATTTTGCGAAGATTAGGTGTGAAGGTGTGAAGATTTAAGATTTGGGCATTGCCTATCAATACCTGTAGAAACAGAGAGAATTACCTATTCTACCCATAGAAACTAAGAAGTCTGTAGAGATAAGGTGTGTAATGTAGGTGCTACGCCAGAATTCTTGTAATCTTTCTTTTCAGGTTATACAGTCCAAGGTCACTTAAATTTGATGGAGACTGCAAATATCAGAGATGCTGACAATGAAACAGACTTCTTTAAGGATTTATAAAGATTGTAGCAAAGCAGATTACTGGAAAACAAGGGCTTTGGATGCTGGTTCCTCTAGAATTTGAGCCCCCAAAACTTTGTGGTTTAATCTTTCAATGGTTGCATTTTTCCTTATTTTAAATTCTAGGAGTCACAGGATAGAACAGGAAATCTGAGCTGGTAACATTACTTTCACTATTCAAGTTCTGTAAACTAATGAGAAAGGCCCAGACCTTTGAATTCTGATCCATAATTGCATCTCCATGCATATAAAAATCTCTGCAAAATAAATACATTAATTGCTGCAAAAGTACCCAAATTGCAGTAAGTTCATGAGGACAGCAAGGTTTCTAAGCCACTGAGACGCTTTTGAAAGTATTACCTCATGTGCAAATATGACAGATCAGTGCCCATCCCTAGTGATATCTAAGCAAAGCTGGTATTCTTCAAGCCATCTTCAAGATAAAATGTAGCTGACAGAAATCTTTAATTTAGGCCAATCCTTTCTTTTACAGATTTCTACATAATTTCTTGCCATGTGGAAAGTACCAGGGTTTGATTTTTGTTTTAAATGAACAATTATGGCTTAATCCAAAACTGACTGGGCTCGAAAGATTTCTGTGGAGTTGAGTTTAGATGTGTTGCTGCTAACCAAGCATCACTCTGATAAAATTTCTTCCTGTAATGCTTTCAGATTAATTAACAAACTCAATCTATTTGTTAATGAATTTTTCCTGTAATTATTATGTCTTGAGCCAATGTTTGAATGCAAAGGGTCACCCAGGATAACAATTGTATTGGGACACAGGACTATACCATCTCTGTTCAAAGAGGGGAATTGTGCCTATGCCTTAAGTCAATGCACTCAGCAAGGAGAAGCACATCATATTTATCTTGTTATTAAAACTAGTTTATTTGGGGGGAGGGATAGGAGGGTGTCTTGGGAACTGGTTGTGCAACTTAAAACAGATATTGATGAAATGTGTTAAGACTGTAGGGACATCTAAGAGTGATACAGAGTTGGGGTTTTTTTTACCATTTTAAATATAGCAAAATACTGTGTATGTTACCTCTAGGACCACAAGTGAAGTCCCATTCATAGTCCTACATTTACTGTAGATCTTTTTTCCCCTGTTTCATTTAATAGTGAACACAAACCTTCTAGTGACAACAGCCCAATTCATAAATAAATCCCATGTGAGCAGTTCTGAAGACATTGCTGCAGGAAGAGTAGAACAAATTGCATTAACTTTCCCACCCTTGAGAGTATTCCTGCTGGTGAGGAAGGCAGGGCTGGAGTGACCCAGCAGGGAGGCTGTGTCCTGACTTCCATGCTCCACTCCTGAGAGGCCGGTGGCTTAGTCCTCATCCCCATGCACCCTCGAGCTGCTCTGGTGAGGATTTCCATCCCAATAAATTCATTTGGAGTGGTTGGTCTTTTCAGCTAGGCTCTTGGATGAGGTTATCATGTTCTTGTATCATGAAGGCCATGGAACTGCTTAAGGACATTTATTTTGGTATGCATTCCTATGGGGGAGCTGTTAGGGAACAACCTAAACATCTGTGCCATCACTGCAGATGCTTCTCTGAAGTGAACAAAGGGTACCTTAATTATGTCTACGCAAAGGAGTTCTGGATGCTGCAATATGTTTTGCAAACATACAGCATCTTAAAAAGCATAAAATTATATGTTTTGTTGAAAGGCAAGGAATTGTTGCTAGAATGATTGATTTCGCATAGAGACTTGTAAACCATTTGAGCCCCACTTGAGTTGTAAGACAGAGGTTTAGATGATGCTGCCTGCACTTGTGTTGGCCACGTGATTAGTCTCCTGCTGTTCAGTGAGTGGCAGACACAACTACAGGCTGAGCAGAGAACGGATTCAGAGCAGTCCTGAGGAGAAGGTCTTGGGGGTGTTGATTAAGAAGAAGCTCAACATGACCCAGCAGTGTGCACTTGCAGCCCAGAAAGCCAACCATATCCTGGGCTACATCAAAAGAAACATGACCAGCAAATCAAGGGGAGGAATTCTCCCCCTCTACTCTGCTCTTGTGAGACCCCACCTGGAGAACTGAGTCCAGCTCTGGGGCCCCAAACATAAGGAGGACGCAGGCATCTTGTAGTCCAGAGGAGACCACAAAGGTGCTCCAAGGTGCTGAAGCACCTCTGCTATGGAGACAGGCTGAGATAACTGGGATGGCTCAGCCTGGAGAAGGCTCTGGGGAGACCTTAGAGCAGTCTTCCAGTGCCTAAGGAGTCAACAAGAAATCCAGAGAGGGGTTTTTCACAAAAGCCTGTAGGGACAGGACAAGGGGGAATGGCTTTAACCTGCCAGAGCGGAAATCTAGATTAGATATTAGGAAAAACTTCTTCATTATGAGGGTGGTGAGACCCTGGTACAGGTTTCCCTGAGAAATTGTGGCTGCTCCATCCCATGCATGAGGGTCGCTTTTCCTCCTGCCTTGCCCAAGAAATCCCTCCCAGTTGCCGTACCTGCCTGGGTTGGTTTTCCCTGAGTTCATTTAAATTAGAGCCTTCCTGCCTGGAATTTCAAAAATGATCAAGGGTTTGCGTGTATTTCTTTGTGAATCTGCCCTGCATTTGCTATTTGGGGAGGTGGCATTTATCCCAAGCCAGAGTTTAGTTTTACCTAAGGCAAGGCTGGGGTGGGTGGTGAATTTGTTTCTACTGAGCTCAATGGAAAGGATGCTGATGACTTTGTGGCCTGAGATGGGGCAGAAGCTGAATGGGTGACAGTTCAGGGACCGAGCACTGACTCAGCACTGTGTGCAGGTCTGCATTGCAGCTGTGAGCATGAAAACCCCATTGAAATGCTAATCTAGGGGCTGTCATACTAATGTCAATATACCTTAGGCGATCATGAATACTGCAGTATTCATAAATGCGTTCATATATTGTAACTCTTAAACTTTAAAGGGCTTCAGGACCTTGTTAAATTTGCTTTAAATATGACACTTTATTAAGAAGACAGGAAAATGACTGTCGGTGCTCACCTCTACCCAGTACCTTATCCATAGGTAGTGTATGACCCTTCAGCTCTCATAGGTGAGTTAGGATGGTTTTCTAAAAGAAAAAGATTTTGCCATTAGGAAAAGCAGAGATCCTGATGACTATACAAGTGAATCCATTCTCCAAGTTTCTTTGTGAGTTGTTTTTTGGTTGGTTCTCTTTTTCTACACTTTCTGAAGTATAATACCCAGTGAGACGGGTAGCTTTAGAATACAAAGAAACGTTAACACTAAACAATGTCATCAGAAGGGGAAGCCAGTAACTACGACAGTACATATAAAGCCTCTCCTACATATTCATTTTTTGATAACTAAATATGTGCAGGAGTAATTTGTATTTGGTTATCTCAGTTCTGCTCTCAAACACATGTATTTTAAGAGGCTTTTTCTTTTTCTTGTTTAATCATAAATATCACAAAAAAGTTTAAGGTGTAAGCCTAAAAATGCCATCTGCAATATACGGTAGCAAAATGATGTTTAAAAGAAAAACACTCCCTAGAAATTGCTCTAAGGTTAAAGAGAGATTCCTGTGGAACTCATGAGATGTCAGGTTAGCTCACATCATACCTGGTTTGCAAATACAGGTGTTCTTAAAGGAAATTAGCTTTTGTCTTCATAAGATGCACTCATGCAGATGCACAAATATATATATATATACACACGCATATACTTGTTTACAGCAAAAGCCAGTTTCCTTTCTATTTGTTGTTATGGCTTTAAGTTTCATGTTGCAAAAGCGAATGCAACAGAGACCAAAGACTCACAGAAATTCATCCTTTCCCTGGTTGCCCTCACATCTGAAATGCATTAAATTTAATGGTGCTTTTTTGAACTTGACAGGAAAAATACAGATTTACCATAAAGCTATATTTGAGAGAGTAAAGTGACAGGAAGACTCTTAACTTCATTAGTGGGGAGAAAAGGAAATAATATGAAAAACCTTTCAATGCATGCAGAGGGCAAGGTTACCTAAGATGGGAAATGTGAAGAAATAGCCCAGAAGGCTAAAAGACATCATCCTGGGCTGGAGGTATAAATAAATTGAGTAAATGCTACTGGCTGTTCACTTACCTGCACTCGAGCATTAGCTGTTCAGGACCTCCAGTAGCTGCTCAGTGAAGAAGAGTAACTGCTGTAATGATTTCATTTTACAAGTGCATGCAGTAAAAACAAAAATAGTTAGAGGCTGTGCTCCTTTCTCTTCTTTTCTTTATGGCTGACATTTTACATTTTGAAATGTCATCATCCACAATTCACCCCAGCCAGCGCAGGGTGCATTCCTGCGGAGCTGTGCCAAGCACCGGATTTGTGCTTTTTGGATGTGAAAATACCAGCGTTTTTATCGCCAGTGCTGTTGAGGAACACGGTGCTGGCAACATCTCCATTTTCTCCATTTTAACCTTCTTCCTTGGTTCTAAAATTGCTGTGTAAAAATTGGGTAGCTGGTGTCCTGCCACACACACGGCTGTGTGCAGATCACCACCAATCCCTGAATCCCCATCATGTCGTTTCTTGGTCTCACGTGCCCTCAGAAACCAAAACCTGCATGTAACAGTGCACTAAGGTGAAACTGAGGACATTTAGGTTAATTCTGCACAGCAGTTCCTGTGTTTTCACAGCTGATGTAGCCAACTTTATGGCTGCGAATGGAGCAGGGTTAAACACTGACGTGGTGCTGATGAGATTATTCAAGCAAGAGTGGAGTGTGTTAAACAAGGCAGGTAGGAGGGAAAGGGAAGAAATGGTAAGAGACATCACCCTAATCACAGTAATGCAACAAACTTCTCTGTTTACACTATTATACTTTAAATTAATAACATCCATTTGACTAAATATGGTAGCAATTATGCTTGATCTTTCATGGCACACAGTGGAATTGCTGTCACTGAAACCACTTACAGCTTGGGCTGGTGAAGATTGCTAGGGTGTTGTTTCCTTCCACAATAATCACAGTGGCTTGGAGCTTGGATGGAAATTATAGTGAATAGCTTGCATTTAGAAAGCTTTTAAGTCTGCTGTGGTTGAGAAGCCCAGGGTTACGCACGTAGAGACTTGAGGCGTTATCGTTTCAGACATTCTTGTCCTGCCACTTGAATTGTGCCCTTGTGAAAAGTGAAACACTTACTTTATTTATACAGGAGAAGATGGATATTTAAAGCTGCAGGATTTTTATTGAGTGAAGAAGAAGATACAGTCGTAGTGCACCACTGAGATTTCCCATCCAGGTCACTTTAAACTAGAGGTGAGAGCCCCTTAAAAATTAATTTGCTACAAGTGTAATTCCTGTGGGAAATTCAGCACTGGTGCCTCTCCCAGGAAATGTCTCGCCTTGTTACAGCTCGCAGCCATGTGGTGTCTGGGCTGCCTATTCAGAGGAAGCCAGATTCCCTTTGAGGCAACTCATCTCCATGGATTGAGCTTTTGTTAGTTTTTAACCAGTGTTAAAAACTAGGAAGTATAGGTGCGCTGTGAAGCGGTATGTAATTGTATGTTTGTCTCACATGTAGCTGGCTGAACCTTTCTGCCAGCAAGAGAATATACGAGAAGGAGAAATTTGAGCAAAAGTCTTGCATTCACATTGTGCCCTGCTACCAAATGTTTCAGCTAAAAACACACAGCCTTAAACAAACAGGCTTTTCTTCTAAGATTACAAAGGACTTTTTGGAGGCTTTCATCAGGTCCTACCCAAATGGAAAGTCTCACCATTTCTAACATTTGCCATTACAGGGATAGGTGCATTGTAAAGCATAGGTCATGTGCATCTTTGCATGGAACAGGACATTTAAATTGCATTGTGCTCTCACATTTTTGCCCCATTAAAAGGCTTAACCACCAATAGGAGATAAAGTGTTCTGAAGCCTGCTACTGCTAAATGCATTATCACTTTTTAAAGCAATGTAATTTCTTTGGTCTTTTAAAAACTTCCACATAACAGAACCCTTGAAACATCTCAAGGCAGGCTCACATTGAGGAGCTAAAGAATAATTATTTGTGGGCGGTTCTATTTTTATCAAAGGCTGTATTGTAATTTAAAAGAATGTTTCTGTTAGAGTTTCTCCCACTCTTACTTAGCTGCAAACACCATCACCTCTCAACACTATGGCTAGATGTCTCAAGGGTGGCTGCATTAGAGAAGGGACTTAGCTCTTTCGCTAAACCAGAACCTGATGATTTTGTCTTCATCTGGGTCTTCCTCTGGGCTTGTGCTCTGGGTCTCAGTGCTGTTACTGATGTAATGGACAGTGAAACAGCATTACTGATGCTTTTACAGATGATCCATATCTGCAGTCTGAGTGGTATAAATAGTGCTGGTAGTTGGTTGCTGTTCTAACAAGTCTGGCCATGTTGAAAGCATCGGCAGTAATTCCAAAAGCCACAGCCAAGTAGCTCTTAAAGTCACCTCTGCTTTGTCCTGTTAATACCTGTATAGCATTTGAGGGGTTACCATGGAGGTGCTACCCTAGTACACTGGCTCACTTTGGGAAGCCTGAAGGGTGAGGGAGGCTGGTGGGTGCCTTTGCTCTTTCTCATTTATCTTCATCCCATTGCCAGGTCCTCTGCACTAGAAATAGCAGCCAGGCGTGATGCCTGCCTTAGGAATCTGGGCTGGAGCGCTGCAACAGCGCTATTCACAGCACAGGGAGTTGACGGTAGCTGGTTTAAATCTGGATTTGGGTCTATTTAACTCAGTAGTAGACTACACCACCAAAGGGTTTGGACCCAAAGGTTTAGCACCTTTTGTGAAAGCAAAATAAGAGTTTGGCTGCCCTGTGTAAACCACAACCCGGGTGCTCCTGGGCACAGCATGGGACACAGGACTCCTTGAGCTTCTGGGTTTCCTTATCACATGGATGCAGAGCTGTGACAAGTCTTCCATCACTGTCAGCTCAAGCTGTTGCCTGAAAACGGAGGCTTGTTCATCCATCTTCTTTCCTTGCCACCACCATGAACTGGAGTTTCACAGTAGCAGGTGCTACTGGATGAATTAATTTTCTTGTCCCCTTATGTGGGTTATCAGAGCAAACCCAAAGATGAACAAATCCTGCCTTGCTCAGCAGAGTAAGAGCATGCCAGAATAAAGAGCAGATCAGAGCAATTATCATCTACTGTGTTTATTG